AATGTTTGCACTGGAAATTATGCAACTTTTACGGGAAGGAAGCTGTAACAAACTGGTATGACATCATCCAGACTAGGTTATAGGGGTAGGACCTATAAGAATTTCATAGGACATTTCAATATATACAGACAGAAAAATCAATGCTAATCGCCTAGGGATCGTGACAAAAAACAACAAAAACACAATGTGCTTTTTTTACTGGCATAGCAGACCCTGTAGATTGTAATGTAGCTTTGAAGATCTTAAAAAAAAATCATGCCCCACTTAATCTAATGTTGGATTTGAAAGCAAAGAAAAAGATCAACAATTACAACTACAGTGTGCAATAGGTAAATCGTCTCCATATTTGTTGCTTTTGATTTTGTTGACTATAGTCGTGTCAGTTGGGCGCCGTCTGTGAGAAAAAGAGCACCAGAACGCAAATTACTTCACCAGAAATTTGGAAATGGTATGCTGTCCTGCTTGTCATATGCATCGAAAGCTCCAATAGAAGCATTTCAGTGCGGTTAGGTGTCAATCCGATGACAGTGTAGATGATTCGAAAAGAGTTGGATGAGTCTAATGGTGAGTACGAAGTTAAAAAAATTATTTTGATCATTCTGATAAGAAAATAATTCACATTATTTTTGTGAGATCGAGGCCATGATTGAAAATGAAAGCTTCAACTCAATCAGGTCCATAACCAGGGTGGTAGTGCGTCCCTAGTTAAATATGGTAGCTTTTCGAAGACTCTGTGTCTAGCAACATGACCCTGAATCATGTCACACAATCAGGAGAACACAGGGATGACTGTCAGGCCTTTTCTACGACCACATTACACATATTTCAAGATATTTTTGAGTAATTTTGATAAATATATCTGTTAAAATGAGATGTCAATTTTATTTTCAAATTGGCTTAATCTAGTCGTCGATTTATTCATCGCACCCTGAATGCTAGACACAGGAAAGGCTTAGCAGAGAAAGCGATCATATTATCAGTGGTCACTGGCGCATTTACACGAAACATGGAAGAAATGTAAATATTTGATTTGAGAAGATCCATTGCAAATTTCATATGTTCTTGACATTCAGTGCTTTTTCCAGTAGGATGTTGTACTCTGACACCAGGCACAAGTTACCCACAAATGGTTTGAACAGAATTCCGTAGAAAGGTGTGATGACTATATTGGCTCGTATAACCACAATCATGAAACCATGGAGCGTTATGGAGAGATCTACTCGGCAAAATCACCATGGGTTTCGGCAAGGCATTTTTATAGATACACTAGATACTTTACAAGAATCCGTTCCTTTATAAAAGAAAGGGAATATCTATCTATCTATCTATGTGTGTATATATATATATATATATGGGACGTGTCGTGTAGATAGACAAGGTAGTTAGTGCCTACACGGAATAAAATAGATCAGCAGCTACATTATCCCTCTGTGGCAGAATATGCATCTAATGCAGCAAAATAATGAGGGTTACTATGATTATTATGCATGCTATTATGCATGCTATTATGCATGCTATTATGCATGCTATTATTTTGTAGATGTACTTCATAAAGGTCACAATTTGCCCATCCGAAATGATCACTAATGGCCGCTTCCTGATATATAAGACAAAAACTTCTTTATCAACGCATTTCGCACTCTAACATACTTTATTTTGGCAAATGTAAGGATTTTCTTTTTTATAAAAACGAACAAAAACTTTTACACGCATTCACGCGCTTGCGCATACTTGTTAACACATTTGCACATAGGTTTTTACTTCAGATATAAGGTTTGCTTATTTAAAAAAAAATCAAACAAAAAACCACATACAGAATATTGATATATTTATGGAAACATATAATATACCTTACCTTTTCATACACAGTAGTTTATTCTTATGTTCATTATATATCATAATAAACTGAAAAATACAAGGGAATTTTAGTTTAAGCCATATTTATCATCCAAAAGTCTTGACATCAGAGTTTGAAATCGCATTGTCTTCTTCACATATTTTATGAGATTATATCGAACTTAATAAATTTCCTCTTACGCAATGCATTCCTATAACAAATATATGACGTAGTTTTAATCGAAGAGAAGAATTAAACAATAAAGAAATACCGATTGCTATTGTTTTAAAGTAGTAATTGTGCACAAAGTTGGTTTGTTTGCGTCGTGCGCATCATTCCGGATATTTTCCTAATTATTTTCGCATTTATCTCTTTCCCGTTAATCGACGAAGGTGCAGTTGCACAATTGATTTAATGAAAATCGGCATCTCTAAAATATCCACACACACATGCAGGCACAGGCATGGATTCTTTGGGTGTTAACACGGTCACGCATATTTACATAAAGCAACCACGTGCTCAAATACACACACACACACACAAAAAACAAACAAAAAAAACATTGCTTCTTTAGCACGTGTTCGCAAACACACATTTGTTGCATGAGGCAAAAAAAAAAAAAAATCCTAGCGTCGTATGCGCATAAATTTTCCACGAAAAAAATCTTAAATACATAAAACAACCAATGCAAGCATATATGCAGGCAAACAAATATATACGAAAATAAAGTAACTTATAAATACATATTAAGAAAATTAAACGATATTTTGTTTAATTGGTTGCTAAAGAGTTCTTTCAGAATATATTAATTCTAAATAGTCCATGAAAAAAGTGCTATACCAAATAAAAAGCAATACACAAATCACTTAGACACTTTCGCAGCAGTAGCAGAGACAAATTGTAGCGTATGATAGCAGAAAAAAATAGATAAACAACCTGTTAACTCTCCGCTCTAGCAAAATCAACATATCTCGAAGGAAACTTCCATCAATACAAGGCTTATAGTCATATCACTTTGAAACACCGATTCTTGTACAATCACCAAAGTTAAACAATATGGAACTCGGTCAGTCCCTAAATGTGTGACTGCTTGGAAATACCAGGTACTGTAAATTTGGATGTTGGAGCGTAATAGATAAGGTCTCCGAAATGGAAATCGAAAGGCAGAGTTCCAATTCTAGCCGGATTCGGTATATTCATTTACATGGGGAAGATATGAATCCACTTTTCTCCCCTAAGCTATAGGCTAATTAGTAGGAATTGTATGAGCAAATCATTATCTCCCCCAAATCTTACACTCTAAACATATTTTCTAGTGTTAAATAACCAAGTAAAGATTGATAAGCTGTAACTTTTATTTATTTTTATTAAACGCTTATAAAACGTCACTTGAGAAACTGGCTTTTATAATGAAGCAACAATAAAATATGAAATCATATAAAAAGATCAATTCTTTTTTTTTTATTATCATCATAGCTTTGAAATGATTTAATCCTCTGCCAGGTTTACTTTTAAAATAAATACCAGATTCTGTTTCTAGAATTACAGTCTCCCTGCAAAATCTTTAGTGATATTATTTCATTAGGGGGCTTTACATTTTTATCTTTATATCATAGAGTTTATTTCTGTAAAAGGGATTTGACATTTTAAACTTATTATAATATAAAGATTGAATCCGATGCCACAGTTGGGAGTTCATATTTGTAAGCCTTAAATTTTTAATGTATTTTGCAATGATTTCATCCCAAATTTTGATTCGAACCATATGACAACTTATTTTGTTAGTTACATAAACACCTTTTGTGTAATGTGCATTACTACGTATAAATATGTTAAACAAATATATAAATTGATAACGTTTTTACTAGAACAACAAAAAACCCATAATATTTTAATTTATTCATTTGATGATATGAAGTATATATATAATTTAGCTTTCCTCTATATACAAAATCACAGTATTATTTTTTGTTTAATGCCATGCGAATATTAATAACATATATTATCTTATACCCTCTGATATACCCTGTCTTCACAAGAGCCATATCAAACCAAAATGGGGCATAGCGCCCATAAATTCGATTAAGTTATCCAATACTCATTTGTCTGCCTTGATAAAGTTCAAAAGCGTATACGCGTCCCTGTGGTTGATTATTTCCCATCTTACAGGACCTTTTTCACAGACGAAACATTGCTAAGCTCTCGCTTCTCTACGCTATTTCCATAGCATGTGTTCTAACAAGCTACATTAATGTTTTCCTCCAGCCCTGACCTTTGAATTTCCGACTCGCTATGCCACGTACACAACTTTGAATCATCCCAATTTCCTTCGTATTCCGTTAATAAGAAATTCCATTCGGTCATCTTCTTCCCAAGAACCACTGCTTTGCGGAACAGGCTCTCGGTATGATATGTTTATTGTTATGGGACCTTACCCATAATAACATAATGGACTATTCCATACGTAATAAATACAGCGCCTCAAGAGGAAGCAGGGAGTTCCGTCTGAAGTCGGCTGACCGGCTGACCGGCTGATCGGTTGAACTCTTTGCCTTCGGGCGGGGAGGAACCCGAACGAGGCTACGCCGAAGGGCGGAGTCTCCTTCGGGGATGTAAACCGACCCTGCACCCGTTTATACGGGTTCAAAGGGCATATTTTTGGACAAGCCCACGGGTTCGGAGATCCCACGTTAAACCGGCCTTGTGCCACATGATGCCCTCGTGGGGGGTGACTAAATACCGTTCCGTCTGAAGTCAGAGTTCCGTCTGGAGTTAAGTTTGAAGTCTGGAGTGAAGTCCGTCAGGAGTCTGTCAGTCAGAGCGAGTCAGTCGAGTCAGAGGCAGTCCGAAAAAGAGTCGCGTTCTGACAATTACTACTAAACCTGATTGTTCATACTAACACTTTTTACATCTCTGTATATATTCCTGTTTGTAATATATCTGTGTTATTCCATATCCCCCTTCGAGTTCTTCTTTATTGGTTCTACCTTGGACTATCACCGTGGTAAAAGGAACCGGGCCATAACATTTATAATCACTACAATCTAGACCTCTTCATACCTAGGGTTAAGCGTTATCTTTCCTGTATGGCCTCATGAACTTCACACCTGTTCTTACGCTCGTGCAACTCCAAACAGTTACCCTATACCTTACAGCGACATATCGTTGAAACACCTGTTTCCTGACGATCACGGAAGTTAAGCATCGTCGAATCTGGTCAGTACTCAGATCGGTGACAGCTTGGGAATGCCATGTGTTGTAAGCTTGGATGTACGTGTGGTGTAACGTATAATCGCTATGAATTGTTAATCGGAGAGCAAAGTTTTAATTCCCGTTCGGCTTATTATATACACTTATTGCAAATATCCTTGGGAAAAGTATGAATCCACCTATTCTCTTAAGAGCTATCGGTTAATTCGTAATACTTGTATCACTATATACCATTATTATCGTAAAAAAAAGAAAAAAATATTCTTACAATGTAAAAAAAAAAGATTTGGCTGCAAACTGCAAAGGGTTGATAAGCCATAGAAAACGAGTCAATGAATCTAACTTGAGTAGCTCTTGAGCCCTATATTAAAACAGTCCTTACGTATCAGGTATTGCAATGATCAAGAACCACATAAATAATTTAAAATACACAAATAAATCAGAATACAATACTTATGAATATATTGAGCATAAAACGAAACATAACCAAAGAAAAACAAAACAAAACAATTTAACACAGTTTGAATTGTAGTATAAGATATTTGCCGTTATAAACAAAACTATTAAACAGATAATCAAAAACAACATTTCAAAAGACTAAAACCATTTAAAAAATATTCAAAAGCATATATCAATATCATTACAAAGAAATGAATACAAGATTACGTCAAAGAAAACTGACATTTCTTTTTAAAAATATTACTTGAGTAATGCTTTTGATGTTCACTACTGATTAGTTAAATATTTCCCTCGAACAATGATGAATAAATGTGATAGACGATTAATCTTGGCAAAGTGATGAAGACAGAGAAAACCTAAAAATGACATGAGAAAATAAGTTATGTTAAAAAGTAGGAAGACGTGTGAAAATAATTTAAAGATAGTATCGATAGCATCATTACTTTCTATAAATTCTCACACTATTAAAAATAAAAAATACTGTCACAGAAGAGTCGGAAATTATAGAGTTAACGAAGATCTTTTTATTAGAAAGAAAGAAATTTTGATACACTGGTATAGAATATTGATGTTGAAACACTGCGTTTCTTGAAGTGGTTCACTGTGGCATATTTTCAATATTAACGAATTAGAAATGATTTCTGTCCGAATTTCTGGGATGAAGAATTATTATTTACAATATTTTGATTCAGTCACGGTGAAATCATTTATAGCGGCTCGGCTTGAGTGAAACTAATTCCTAAATTATTTATATTACCTGAAGCAACAGATTCTACAGAAGGATGCTGTGGATTGCATGGACCGAACATGTGAACAACGATGAAGTTTTAGAGAAATTGGAAACAAAAAGGAAACTACTTAACATCAGTAAGAAACCGAGCAAAACAAGGCATAACATACTTAGTTAGCTTGAGAAAATGGAAGGCGAAACGGTTTTGAGGAGAAATAAAAGAAAGATGAAATTTATAAGGAGCTAAAAGGGGCAAGAATTTGTGAAGAGCTACGATCGGCTACGTCTTGAGGGATCAAGGCACATAAAAAAAAAAAAAGATTTACAATACTGAACCCTTCATTTATTCTACGCGGGTAGACTTTTCTCATTCCACTGCCCATGTCTAGGGAATATCTCGTCTAGTACATTCTTTTATTACTCCTCAGTTATAGCTCGTCCGTTCCCGCTGAGTAGACTCTCCCCGGCCCATGGATTGAACTCAGAATTACTATATCACTAAAGTCACCAACCACCATTAGGCTGTTGTTCCGTTGTTGTGGATCAGAATTAACCCACAAAAATACGAGAAAGTTTTTTAAATATAAAAATATAAAATATTTTTATTTTCGTGCTTTTACAACTAAATTTTTCTCAGCGTGTACGAGTTTTGGCGTTCTTGGGTTAAAGTTCCTGTTTGTAGTTGTTTGTTAAGATGAAAAATAAAAGATTGGCAATGGAGAAAATGAGGAGGAAAGTGTAAGTACCACGTAGCTTTGCGAGTAAGATTGGTGAATGATTAAGGGAAACTCTTCGAAGCCGCGTCATTAACAGTAGTCGTATGTTGCCGTGCTTACCTCCTTACTGGCTTCTCTGGCCAATAAACATAAATTATATACTCTTCAAAGAAATCCCGAAGCATGTTTTTATTATTATTTTTATTATTATTACTATTATTATTATTATTATTATTATTATTCGAGGGGCACGCGACCCGTTGGTTGAAATATGTTAAATTATTTCCAAAGGATTAAAGGATGCGCGGATCCTTCAACTCACCATCTTTTGTCATTTGATGATTGATTATCTTGATGTTTAAATCGATGTTCTTTCCAGATCGCGTTTTGTTTCTCAGACACACTTAGCAGTCGGAAAAATAAGAACAGTAGGAGAGCTCGCTATACATGTGCTGCGGAACAAGAACCGTCTACTCCCGTAGAATGAAGGACGGCTTCAGTAATGTAAATAAGGTAAATAAATGAGAACAGTACGAGAGCTCGCTATACATGTGCTGCGGAACAAGAACCGTCTACTCCCGTAGAATGAAGGACGGCTTCAGTAATGTAAATAAGGTAAATAAATGAGAACAGTAGGAGAGCTCGCTATACATGTGCAAATGGAACAAGAACCGTCTACTCCCGTAGAATGAAGGACGGCTTCAGTAATGTAAATAAGGTAAATAAATGAGAAGAGTATGAGAGCTCGCTATACAATGTGCTGCGGAACAAGAACCGTCTACTCCTGTAGAATGAAGGACGGCTTCAGTAATGTAAATAAGGTAAATAAATGAGAACAGTAGGAGAGCTCGCTATACATGTGCTGCGGAACAAGAACCGTCTACTCCCCCTTCAGTAAGAATGAAGGACGGCTTACAGTAATGTAAATAAAGGTAAATGAGAAATGAGAACAATAGGAGAGCTCGCTATACATGTGCTGCAGTAGGAGAATTGGTGAAAAAACCGTCTACTCCTGCAGAATGAAGGACGGCTTCAGTAATGTAAATAAGGTAAATAAATGAGAACAGTAGGAGAGCTCGTTATACATGTGCTGCGGAACAAGAACCGTCTACTCCCGTAGAATGAAGGACGGCTTCAGTAATGTAAATAAGGTAAATAAATGAGAACAGTAGGAGACTCGCTAACATGTGCGGGTGGAACAAGAACCGTCTACTCCCCAGAATGAAGGACGGCTTCAGTAATGTAAATAAGGTAAATAAATGAGAACAGTAGGAGAGCGCTATACATGTGCTGGTGGAACAAGAACCGTCTACTCCCTGTAGAATGAAGGACGGCTTCAGTAATGTAAATAAGGTAAATAAATGAGAACAGTAGGAGAGCTATACATGTGCTCGTCTACTCCCCCAGAATGAAGGACAGTAATGTAAATAAATGAGGTAAATAAATGAGAACAGTAGGAGAGCTCGCTATACATGTCTGCGGAACAAGAACCGTCCCCGTAGAATGAAGGACGGCTTCAGTAATGTAAATAAGGTAAATAAATGAGAACAGTAGGAGAGCTCGCTATACATGTGCTGCGGAACAAGAACCGTCTACTCGTAGAATGAAGGACGGCTTCAGTAATGTAAATAAGGTAAATAAATGAGAACAGTAGGAGAGCTCGCTATACATGTGCTGCGGAACAAGAACCGTCTACTCCCGTAGAATGAAGGACGGCTTCAGTAATGTAAATAAGGTAAATAAATGAGAACAGTAGGAGAGCTCGCTATACATGTACTGGAACAAGAACCGTCTACTCCCGTAGAATGAAGGACGGCTTAAGTAAGGTAAATAAGGTAAATAAATGAGAACAGTAGGAGAGCTCGCTATACATGTGTTGCGGAACAAGAACGTCTACTCCCGTAGAATGAAGGACGGCTTCAGTAATGTAAATAAGGTAAATAAATGAGAACAGTAGAGAGGTCGCTATACATGTGCTGCGGAACAAGAACCGTCTACTCCCCGTAGAATGAAGGACGGCTTCAGTAATGTAAATAAGGTAAATAAATGAGAACAGTAGGAGAGGTCGCTATACATGAATGGAACAAGAACTGTCTACTCCCGTAGAATGAAGGACGGCTTCAGTAATGTAAATAAGGTAAATAAATAAATGGGAGAGAACAGTAGGAAGTCTACTCCCTGAAGGACGGCTTCAGTATACATGTGCTAAATGGGAACAAGAAACAGAATGAAGGACGGCTCGTATACATGTAATGAAAACAAGAACTACATGTGCTGCGGAACAACTCCCGTAGAATGAAGGACGGCTTCAGTAATGTAAATAAGGTAAATAAATGAGAACAGTAGGAGAGCTCTGCTATACATGTGCTGGGTGGAACAAGAACCGTCTACTCCCGTAGAATGAAGGACGGCTTCAGTAATGTAAATAAGGTAAATAAATGAGAACAGTAGGAGAGCTCGCTATACATGTGCTGTGGAACAAGAACCGTCTACTCCCGTAGAATGAAGGACGGCTTCAGTAATGTAAATAAGGTAAATAAATGAGAACAGAGGAGAGCTCGCTATACATGTGCTGCGGAACAAGAACCGTCTACTCCTGTAGAATGAAGGACGGCTTCAGTAATGTAAATAAAAGGTAAATAAATGAGAACAGTAGGAGAGGTCGCTATACATGTGCTATACTATGGAACAAGAACCGTCTACTCCCGTAGAATGAAGGACGGCTTCAGTAATGTAAATAAGGTAAATAAATGAGAACAGTAGGAGAGCTCGCTATACATGTGTTGCGGAACAAGAACCGTCTACTCCCGTAGAATCTAGTAATGTAAATAAGGTAAATAAATGAGAACAGTAGGATGGAACAAGAACCGTCTACCCTCGTAGAATACTTCAGTAATGTAAATAAGGTAAATAAATGAGAACAGAGGAGAGGCTTCAGTGGAACAAGAAATGTAGAATGAAGGACGGCTTAAATGTAAATAAGGTAAATAAATGAGAACAGAGGAGAGTCGCTATACATGTGCTGGAACAAGAACCGTCTACTCCCGTAGAATGAAGGACGGCTTCAGTAAGTAAATAAATGTAAATAAGGTAAATAAATGAGAACAGTAGGAGAGAACTAGGAGAGCTATACATGTGCTGCGGAACA